GGAATATCTGTCAGTTCAATAATGCTTAGTACAGCAGATGATCATGTAACATACTCTCCTGTGTTTCGATCTATTGCTCTTAGTAAGCCTGAATCAAGCGTGCTCGTATCACAGTAAACCGGCTGAAGCTGATTTGTTATGAGAGAAAAATACTATAGATTCTCGCTGATAAACCGAGCGAACGGGCATCAAGTACGTGCTAGCAGTAGTCAACGACGGAGCTTCCCTAGGGGGTGGGGGCGACCACGGCTCGGCTGGGGGACCCGCCCGGCTCGGGACTTACCGCCGCTACGGCGCTGAGAACATCGACATGCGACGTGCAACTCGCATACGGCCCCGGACCCCTCTTCTGCGTTCTTCTCCATCTCCGGCGTCCGGCGACATCGGGGACTTATACACTTCACTAATCGAGGACGCTTGGAGGAGAAGAGGGCGGCGACGACGACGAGGAGAGGAAGCGGCGATGAACGGAGCGTTGAGCTGCTGCTTGCTTCCTTTCTGGGCCTTGTTTTTGGCAGTATAGGTGAGTTGTTTAGCCACTAAGGGCCCAAATTTACTCCCAATTCCCCAATCCCATTCTCCGTGCACATCAAGATTTGGTGTTCCGCATCCACATCAAGGCTCAATACAATACACCAAAGGCACGTCACGTTCAGCCACCTTTCTCGCGCGTTCTCGATCACATGCGCCGGGCACCCTTGGATCGCCGACCATATTTAAATCGACTTCAATAATCTCAGATGATCATGTAACGCCGCGTGTTTCGATCTATTGCTTAGACTTCTCTCCACCTGACCGATTTATTGTGAGAAAAAAGACCGATCAGCATCCCAGCGTAGTCAACGACGAGCTTCCCTAGGGCGATAGACGCCCATTTGCCCCCCGCTGCGTTCTTCTCCATCTCCGACGTCCGTGGTGTGCTGTCGAGGAGCCTAGGCGACGAGCGAGGAGAAGCGGCGATAAGCGCGGCTGCTTGCTTCCTTGGCTGGCCGTCGAGGCTTTAGCCCACTAAGGGTGAAATTTGGCCAATTGCGCCCGATTGGTGTTGATGATGGAGGAGGAGGAGCAGGCGCTGGGGCTGGGCCTCCGCGGGTGCCCAGCCGCCTAGGCCAGCACTAGGTGCGCCCGCTGGCGTCGAGGCTCAAGGTGAGTGGCCAGTGATGGAGCGAGCAAGGCAGAGCAGCTCCACCTCCACCAATATCTGGATTCGGCCGAGGTCGAGGTTCAAGCAGAGGCCGAGGTTCAAGCATTGGCAAGAACAACAAGAAAAATGGTATTGTTTTATGATTTTTCAGTTCACGAATCATTACTTCATTAGCATAGCAAGACAATAATAGAGTATGCTAATTTGACAAGTATTTTTTGTGCAGACTTGAAGAATTATTTTACAACTTTGAGTGTTGGTTCAAGTTCACTAATGAAAGTGTCAACGCCACTACTTCAACGGCGGGAGAAGTTGTTCAAGAAAATGAAGCTATGCAGTCTGTAGCAACAGATTTAGCACACGTTGATATTGGTGTTGATGATGCACAACCACCAGAACCACAACAATGGCCACAGGAAGAAGAACAACAAGAAGATGAAGGTATCAGCCTTATCACAGAATTTGACCCGCATGTTCATATTGTAGCTGATCCAAATCCAGCTCTTAGAATGCCAATTGAAAGATTTCATCCTAATGTTCAATCAGATGTTAGAAGGGCTTATTTATTGGGAGGTCCGACACAACCCATTGGACATAATTTTCCTCGCAAGCGTGTTGGTAATGATTGGAGACAATTTCTCCCAAAATGGTTTAAGGAACATAATTGGCTAGAGTATAGTGTGTCCAAGGATGCAACATTTTGCTTCTATTGTTATCTTTTTTGGCAAGAAGCCGACCATGAGAAATTTGGTCATGTGGTTTTCACAAAGACAGGGTTTAATGATTTTAAACATGCATATAGAGGATTTCCAGGTCATGTTGGAGGAGTTTCTAGTTGCCACAATAAAGCTAGATTATGTGCCGAAGATTTTAAGAATCAAAGAGCAAGTATTACCCATAAGATTGATGCTAATACCAAAACAGCAGAAATGCTCTATGAAGTTCGCTTGACTACTGCTCTAGATGTTGCAAGCTTTCTCATTGCACAGGGTCATGCTTTTCGTGGCAATGACGAATCTGACACCTCTCTAAACAAGGGCAATTTCCTAGAAATGATTGATTGGTATAAAAACAGGAATGATGATGTGAGGGTTGCATATGATGAGTTATGTCAAAATAATGCCCGCATGACTTCTCCTCAGATTTAGCAAGATATTACACGGAGTTATGCTGAAGAGGTCACTGAAGTAATAAAAGAAGAAATTGGGGATGGCTATTTCTCGGTTCTAATTGATGAATCCCGTGATATCTCAATAGCAGAACAAATGACTGTGCTTGTGAGGTTAGTAATTTTTTTTGAAGTGCTTTATGTTTCTGGGTGACTTGTGAGGTTAGTAATTATTTTTTAAATGCATTATGCAGATTTGTGAACAAAAAGGGAATGGTTGTGGAAATATTTTTGGGTCTGCATCATGTCGAAGATACAACATCAAGTTCCCTAAAGAAAGCTTTGACTGAGATTCTTGCTGCCCATGGTTTACCTATTTCTAGACTAAGAGGCCAAGGATATGATGGTGCTTCAAACATGAGAGGTGAATTCAATGGTTTGCAAAAACAGATCCGTGATGAGAACCCTTATGCATTCTTTGTTCATTGCTTTGCTCATCAATTACAGTTGGTTATTGTTTCCGTTGCAAGTTGTTGCTCCTCTTTTGATGATTTCTTCAACTATGTGGGTTTAATTGTCACAAGTACTAGTGCATCTTGTAAGAGGAAGGATAAATTACAAGCACAACATCGTGAAACCATTATAGCAAAGTTAGAGAGTGGTGAGATTCTAAGAGGGAGGGGAAGGAATCAAATAACAAACTTGCATAGACCAGGAGATACAAGATGGGGTTCTCATTATATAACATTACTTCGTATTGAGTCAATGTGGGATTCTGTAGTCAAGGTGTTAGCCATGATTCATGAAGATGAACGTAATCCTAGCCGAGCCGGTGGTTTGGTGCACAAAATGGAAAGCTTTTCCTTTGTTTTAAATATGAAGTTGATGTTGAAAGTGTTCCGTATTACAAATGAGTTGTCTCTTCTTTTTCAAAGAAAAGACCAAAACATTGTTGAGGCCATGTCATTGCTTATTGATGTGAAAGCACACTTGATCAGTTTAAGAAATGAAGGTTGGGAGCAATTATTAGAAGAGGTCAAATCATTTTGTGTTGCAAAAGAAATTCCAATACCAAATATGAAAGATGCAATACCAAGATGGGGCAGATCAAGGCGTGATGGCAACTTAATCACTCAAGAGCATCATTACCGTGTTGATACTTTCCTTGCTGCACTTGATGCTATAATCATGGAGATGGATCATCGCTTCAATGAGGTATCATCTGAGTTGCTTGTTTCATTTGCTTGTCTTGATCCAAGAGAGAACTTTGCTAGGTTTGATGTTGAAAAGATTGCTCGGATAACTGAGATCTATGATCAAGATTTCTCTATTCGTGATCGTGATAATATAAGGGAAGAACTTGAGACATTCCTTGTTCATGTGAGTAGAGTTGATGATTTCAAATCTTATCATGACCTTGGAAGCTTGGCTACAACAATGATTGCAAATAAGAAACATATCCTTTTCCATTGGTCTATCGCATCATTGAGTTAGCATTGATCCTACCTGTGGCAACATCTTCAGTTGAAAGAGCCTTCTCAGCTATGCACTTCATCAAGACAGCTTTGCGGAACAAGATGGGTGATGAATGGTTCAATAACTTGTTAGTGTGCTACATTGAGAAAGGGATCTTCAAGGAACTTGGTATTGATAAAGTTAAGAAGAGGTTTCAATCTATGAAAACCCGAAGAGTGAGCTTGCCAAAGAGCCCTCGTGTCATCAACGTTCTTAGTCCTTCACCACTAGTAAGTATTTTCTCATGATGTCCATTATTGAGTGAGGGCTATCATTATTTTATTGTTACTCGCTAAGACGCTAATTGATATTCATTCAATCTACATGTTCATTCATTCTTAGTTATTTCACTTATTTGTAATTTGCAATGTATGGATCAACATCAACTAATCAAGAACTAGTTTATTCTTCAAATTTGAGGTAACATCTTTTGTTTCTCGTCTACTTTTCGTCGTCATGTGTGATCGTAGCGTTTTTGCCATGATTTGTGTGATTATAGTATGTGAATTTGGTACACTGTAAATACGATATATTTTTATTCATTTTGGTTGAAATTCCCTCCACCTATAATTTTTTTCATGGTTCCGTCATTGGCAGTAGTGTATAAACTCTCAGCGTGACATCTCTGACCTTGACCTCGCTCGGGTCAGCAGCACGTCACGCCTGCAAGGTGCATTGCACCTCGGTTCCCGCGGGCCCCACTGCTCGCGGCAGCAGCGAAAACAACATGTGATCGGTGTGGCCACAGGCCACCTGGGCTGGGCGGCCGGCGGCCGCCACGACACCACCTTTGCTTCCGGAACCGCGCAACCGAACGCATTCGGAACGAGATATGTTCGCCTCGCCGCCCCCGCCACCGAATATCGACGATTATCATCACAAACCACCACACACGTACGAAAGGTATGCAAATCTCGGAGGATAAGAGGCAGCAGTAATTAACCTCCATGAGAGTGACTAGATGAGCTAGTAGCACACAGACTACATCATCAAAAACCAGATATTTACATCTCTGCAGCTAGCGGAGAAACAAACAAAGCTGCACGAATTAAGCAAGCGAGGAAGAAAACTAATTGAACACAACCAAGAGACACTTAATCGACTCTGCTGATTACCCTTTTTCTTTTTTGCTTCTGCTGCTAATCTTCACTTGATCACTTCCCCCCTTCCCTCTCCATGGTCTCTAGCTTCCATGCATGTGGCATGGATGCCTTGGTCAGCTACTTTACTTATTCATGCAAAGAAGCCATTAGTGCTAGCGGTGTTAGCGGCGGACACCGACGGCATGTGCGGCATCTGGGCCGCCTGGATGCTCTGCAGGAGCATCCTGTCCTCCGCCGACGATGCGAACCCGTGGCCGAGGGAGGCGAAGACGTCGCCGCCGCCGCCTTGCAGCAGTCCGCCGCTGCTGTAGCCGAATGGCGACGACGACGCGCCGGTGTACTGCTGCTGCTGCCTGCGGAGCAGCTGCTCTTGGAGCGGCGCCTGGTGGTGGCTGTGGCTCCGCTGAAGCTGGTGGTCGAAGGACATGACGGCCGAGGAAGGCGGGAAGCCGTAGTCGGCTGCGAAGTTGATGACCGGCACGCCGGCCGGAGCCCCGAACGCGCCGGCGGGGGGCGCGGGGATGCCCGTGAACTGCTGCACCATGGCGCGGAAGTTGGCGGTGTCCGTGTTGAGCAGCGTCACGGGCGCGCGCCGCGACGCGCGGGACCGCCGCCGCGCCGCCGCGGGCTTCCCGATCCGGGGCCCCTCCACCCCGTGCAGCAGCTGCTGCTGCGGGTGATGGCCCCCCGCCTTGGTGGGGCTCCCGCCGCCGCTGGACCCGCCCGACGTCGGGCTCGCCACGGCGGCGGTGGTGCCGTTGCCGACGTCCGCCGCGGCGTCGTCGGGCAGGACGGCCGGGCCGGTGGCGTCGTGGTGGTGGTGGTAGAGCGCGGCCCACTGCGCGAAGCTCGACCCGGTGTCACTCATCGCCATCGACGCGCGCGGATCGGAGCCGAGCAGCCGGGCGTGAGCGCTGCTCGTCGTGTGTGTCGGAAGAGGAGTTGGACACGGCCGCGGGGCTCGGCCATTTATAGTGACCCGGCCCGCGGTCCACCAGACGTTGCCATCCGTCGGATCGACGTGCTCCTCCAGTCAACGCCCGAGATTCACCAACGTGTCGGGCTCGCTGGACGTAACCCGTTGGAGCTCCGCTCCCCTCACCCACCTTCCGAGAAGCGTCGCTGATCCGCTCGCCTGCCTGCCCCCCCTGCGGAACAGGTGGCGGCCCACACAGCAGCGCGCCACTGTGCTGCGGCCTTCCGAGGCCGCCGCGTCCTCGTCGCCGGGTGCTCGCTCGGGTTGGCAGCCAGCACAGTAGAGGCGAAACTGGGCTCTGTCTCCTGCTTGCCTTCGCAAAGTCACGAAAGACTAGCAATAGCATGCCGACGAAGACTAAAGTAGATAAAGACCAGTAGTATCTGAAAAGGAACAGCAGAGAGCAAGAGATGTAGGAGTAGACAATACTGTAGTGTTTAGCATTGAATTAGCCCCTTAGTATTGGGTCACGCTCCGCCACTGGCAGCCAGCCGGCCCGCGCGGCTGCTTCGGGGCGGCCGGGCTGTCACGTCGCTGCAGCACGGCGAGGCGTTAATTCCGGATGGGGATTTCGGCTGCGCGTCGCATCGCATCCCACCCAATACGGCCGTCCCATCCACTTCGCAGGCGGCCGTGCGTGCGTTCCTCTCGCGCAGCATGTGGAGGCGGGCAGGCGGCGGCCGGGCGACCCGTGCTGAAGGGAAGCTTCGGCGATTCCGGTCCATCGGTGTCTCGTGCCTGTGTGGTTGGAAGAGTCCACAACCACGACGACGGTGAATTCAGCACATGCCAGATCGATCCACACGTCGCTCTCAGGATCCACCTCGAAGATCGTGTTTACATTTCCCCGGTCGACGGGGTTTCAGGCTACTGTGTGTATCTTTTTCTCCCTCCTGCGCTTTTTAATTTGCCGCGCGCCGTGGACCGTGGTGCGCTCGTGGCGTTGAACTTTCTAATTCGAGGATCGCTCAGCTGTCGTAAACGATGCTGACCCCGTTTGGATCCACATACTCCGTAGTTAGGATAAAAATTAGCTGCACAGATCTCAAGCAAACCTAGTTAACACTACATCAGGTGATTATTAGCTTGATATCCAGTTACCAACTACTCTTCCGACACACACGACGAGCTAATAGTCTCTCCGTCCCAAGATAAACCAACTTGGTTTGAATAGATTTTATAAAAGAACATCAATATGTATTTATTTATGAGACCAAATAAGTAACGCTAGAAATATTATAAAATATATTTTATAATACATTTGGTGTGATAGAAGTTGTTACTCTTTCGTATAAATAAATTGATCAAATTTAAGATAGTTTGAGTTAGGTGGTTCAATATGTCGTGGGTTTGTATAACCACGGCTGTTGATTAGTGTTCGATTAGTTGTTGGTGTGTGGGACTTCGGGGGTTAACACTCAAAGCACAAAGGGTTTATCCTGGTTCGGGTTTCGAAACCGTACATCCAGCAAGCGAGTTCTTCGTGTCAGAGTGCTCAAGCCAGTTCTTACACACACAAAGAGAGATAAAGAAAGGTAGAAGAGCGCTAATAGCTATTTCTGATCTAGGGTAATTTTGGATATGTCCCTTTCTACAGGAGCTCATGCCATATTCACCACTTAGTTAATCCACATCCATGTAGTTAAATCTGCCACTCAGTTATTCATCCAAGTGTTTACGTTCAAAATTCAAACATTCATGTTGTCATGTCCGCCACTGATTTTATCCACATCCAATGGTTAGGAGAATTGACTAATATTTGTTTTTCCCTATTATCAACTTTGAGAGAATCGTCAGATTTGAGATTGATGAAGTCATCACACACATATAAATCTTTCATTCTAAGGTATCAATGCTTCGATCACTTCAAAATTCAAACACAATATGGCACGTGACATTCTAGATCCGTCACTGAGTTCAACCCCACGTCCAACGGTAGAAAATTTGACTAGTTTTTTTTTTGTAAGCTTTTTCACTTGATTTTGAAAAATGTCTCTTTAACGTGGTGTAAAAAAATTGTGTGTAATAAGGTTAATATATATATATAGTGGGCATATGAATCCTCGCTCTATCCACAATGGCATAACGTGCAGACTACCACCATAAAGAAATGACTCGACAAACATTTTTCTGGTCAACATGCCAAATAATTGGTGAACGTCCTAAGCTAGCCAGAGGCCTAGCTAGGGTCTTGCATCATGCATGTCCACCTACAAAGGTACATGTATTGTTGGCTTGAAGAAGCACGCCTCCTTGCTTGACCAACCACAAGTCAAGCTGAGATCGACTAGGCTGAACACATGGAGAGGCCTCAACGCAGGTGACCAACAACCCGAGTAAAAAAAAACTGAAATTATCTGCGAATAATTTACTTTAGGATTTTCTTAGTACGTGTAATCAACGACACTGTCTTAGCTGCATAACTATATTAGTACTATAAAGATCGTCATATGCACGCAGTGACGCACATCTTGTTGACGAGTATGCAGGTCGAGGCTTGCCTAAACCAGACTTTGGACAAGTGCAAGCCGAAGTGTAACTCAACGTTCTTCAGAAAAGTATATTCAACGTTCCAAACCAGTATAAAAACGTTTTGGAAGACAGTGATTATTGATGAGATCTTGGGATAATAGGCATTATATTCATCTACGTTACGAACCTGGTTCTGATTCCGAAACACGTTCATCTCGCTTTGGTCGGTTGTGCTCCCTGCTGGGAGAAAGCAGAGTGTGTTAAGCGTCGTCGGTGATCTGGAGCTTCAGCTAACCTCTTGCTTCTCTCCTTCGTCCGACCCAGCACCAGCAGCCAGCAACCACGGGAAGTGGGGCCCACATCTAGAAGCAGAAACGGATCCCCCCGGCCGTGACGTGCGGGCTGACGCTTAGAAAACACGCATGAGACCATGAGTCGTCGGCCAGGCATTGACCGTATCATGCATGCATCTTCGTCTTCTTTCATTCACGTGCTCTGTTGCTACCGTCCCCAGCTTTAGTATGCATGGTATGGTGCGGCACATCCACAATATGGCATGTTTGTTTGGCTGATAAGCCATGGCTGAAAGTATTATTGACTGATTTGTTGTGAGAGAAAAATATTGTTTCATTTGTTGAAAAAGTATGGCTTATAAGCAAGTGAACAGGACGATCCGAGCAAGATCGTGTTCCATGAGGAAATCGCTTGCTCTTGCGTTATGTAGTAGTGTACCGATGCAAGGTGGGTTCAACAAGGATTCAACAGGAACTCACTTAGACCCTGTTCGGTTATCAGGGGAAAAATTCAATTGGAACCGCTATCTTAATTTATATAAGCAGGTAAACCTAGAATGATTTCTGGTCCTAGAACCAGCTAAGGCCTCATTCGTTTGCTTGGGTTCTGTTCCTGGCCCTAAAACTTTCCAGGCCTGGATACGGTGGATCCAGGTGTGTCACTCATTCCAGGCCTGGATACACAACCAGGAATTAATTGTCACGGAGCTGGTGCAACTGCCGTTCGTTTCAGCCAGGAATGATTACAGGGTTTTGTTCCTGTTTAGCTGCCCTTTACAGCCACTGCCACTGCAGGCTGTGGCTGTTTTTCTTCCATATATATTAAAAGCAGCATTGTGGTTGTAAAGAGCAGCTCAACAGGGTCCACAATTACAACTTGACATAAACACTTGTTTGACAGCAACTTGACAATATACATTAGCAGCTTGTTTGACAGCAACTTGACAGTAAACATTTATCTACATGCATGAAAAGCAAGGGATTGAAATGATGGAGAAGTAGCAGACAAGTAGCAAACAAAAATAGAGTCTTGATCAATAAGCATCATCCTTTCAGTCTTGATCAAGACAAAATAGAGTTTGAACTGGCAGAAGCACAAATCTCTCATAGAAGTTACAAGAATTCTAGGTTATCTAGCGATGTTGATATATGTGAAGACCATAGACCTTAGACCTCCTGCACACTCAAGCCTGGTAAACAAAAAGTTCAACATCAGTTCCAGTGGCATGACAGTAGTATTTGGATTCATAATCAAGAACAGTGACAAATCAAATTAGCCCTAGCTCCTAACTGAAATTCGACTAGAGAACCGCAATTCCTCCAAAATATAAAATCCCAAGATGATTAGCCCTAGCTCCTAATCAAAATAGGATTAGGCATGCTGATAATAGTATAAATTATACTATAAGATCTCGCAAAAAATCCAAAATATAGAACTGCAATTAAAATTGGTTGACATGCAGTAACAAGATCAGCATATTGCATATTGGTTAAGAGAAAAAATGGCATATTGGTTGAGAAGTGAAAAAACTAAAATTTCTTGACAGTGAATGGAAATGTCAGCTAAATTTTCTGCAATGGACAATTAAGATTCAGTAACAATACAAGATGGATCAGCGTAAGCGAATCCAATAATTTCTATATTCAGAGAAAATACTGAAATCCCAAGACAAACTATAAAAGAGTATGAACAGAGCCTAAAGTTGCTTCCATTATTCTGCGCTCCTATTTATAGTGCTTCAGATTAGTCCTGACCAAACAAAGTATACTTTTTTTCTCAAACATATGTCAGCACACTACCCACACTACCAACAGGGACTCCATGAGTGAAGCGACCTTATGCAGAGACAACCATTAATAGTGTGCTATTTCAAAAGTTCATGCATCTACAAAGTAGAGGAGGCAACAGGATAAGACAGATAAAATACAAGAACTAGGATGGTATCTGCGGTTCTGGTATTTCTGCCTACTAGAAAGACTGCAGCTAGATGTCAAGAGAAGGATTTCACCAAATACAAGAACTAGGATGCTATTAAAAGTTTGACATCCTTTTAAACTTGCAGGTATCCTTCGGCAACTTATAAAAAATCCTTTGAAAAAAAAAAGAGAGAAAAAGAAAATTGTACAAACACT